CGGAGCTTGACGCTCGGAGCGTGGGAGCGATCTTTCGGGTGCGGAGCGCGCGCGTGGGAGAGATCGGCTTCCAGATCAGACTCAGCACTGTCTGTTCTCCAGGCGTTCCACGCGTTCGAGGAGAGGGTGGAGGGCGTTCATCTTCATAACGACGGAGGAAATGATGTGCGGGGAGAGCAATGAGGGCTCGTCCTGCATAGAAGCGTCGGTGCCTGGAGCGGGGTCAGAAGTCTGAACTAGCTGCTGACGGTGTGTCGGAGGCATCAGGCGCAAAGGCGTGCATGCCGTCAGTCCGCGCGTATGGCGAGGTCGAAGCCCTACCCGAGCGGCGACGGGTAACCTCGACGGCATACCCGCGTCCGCGTCCACGTCTGCTTCCTCGTACAGAGCCTCGTGGCATGGTGAAAGAGAGAGAAAGGGAGTGAGAAAGGAACAAACCGGTGGCCGCATATGGCTGGTTGGCTGGCGAGTTCAGGTGAGTTCCGGCGTACGCATGTTACATGCCACCACAGCGTGCATGTACGTGTTCTTCTCACTACCCAAGCAAAGCAAATAATAGACTGATCCCCTTATTATACTGGGTTCGAGCACGGGGGCAACCTCACTCGCGATCGAGCTAGTTTTTGAACGTGACAGCATCTTTGACAGTGTGTTTCAGGTTTGTTTTGGAATGTCTTCTGCTTAGTTCAAGTAGTTTGCGATGGCTTCGAGCGGTGCTGAACCTCCTGCTGGTAGGAGCAGAGTCTCCGAGAGAGACATGGACTGTGATGCAGCTGTAGGATTTTTTCAAGGCGCGGGAGGGAACGATCTCGGGCCACAAACAGGAGTCCAGAGGTGAGTTTTTTTGTTGTAGAAATATTCGAATCGTGAATCGTGTTTTGAGATTTATTTTGTGCCTCGGCTTTAGCAGACCGTATTTCTTTCTCCTTTAGATCGGTGCTGAAGACAATAGTAACCTTTTTCTGGTCTGCCTTTTCCTCTCCAGAGCCATCTTCTGTGAAGGTAACCGTAGTGCTGCCAAGTCACCAAGTCGTGATCGCGATCAGCAGCCCTGAAGTGGAAAAATTGATTTTCCAACGATCTGGTTGGACATCAGCCACTAAAGTACTTCTGATTTGCCTGTAGTGACAACATCAGCCATCCTTGGACACCTTGCAAAGGCAGGAAAGGCCACTGGTGGAAGCCACTGCTATGCGGTGACGATAGCAGTGCAGTGGTGATCGCTGTTTTGTGAAGTCGAAGGGCTAGACAACCCAGAGGCAGAGGAAGCAAAAAAAAAAACGATGAGCAGTGCGTGGTATTTGTTGAGCGTGAAGAGCTAGAGGAGGACAGTGCAAACACATGGACGGAGTGGATGGTGTTTGAAGAACAGTGTGCTGTGTGCCGGCTGGTGGTGATGGTGGTCTTTGTCAGCATGTATTTGTGCTGCTTCTTGTGCTGGAACACTTCTCGCCCAGGAAGGCAGATTGCGTGCTCCCTGGCCCTCAGTCGGCAATGGGGCATTTGTTCCAGGAACTTTACCCCAGAGCCAGTGATGAGTCGTACCTTTGAAAAGTTGAAGCCTGCTGTTAATCGCAAGCGTAGCGCAGTGGATTGCTCCCTCTTCGAAGCACGAGGGCCAAAGCTTGCCGCTGTCTGCAGCAAAGTGTGTGTGCGGTTCTTTCGAACCTATGAATATACCCCCCCCCCCTCTCTCTCTCTTAGGAAGACTCCATGTGCAGAGTGAACTATTTTCTAGTATATTTAATGTGAGATGGGCTGTTTACGCCCAAGATGAAGATACAGCTTTTTTCCGTTTCTATACCTTCCTAATAAAATACATCGTGACAGAGCTTTCGGTCATACTCCGCTGTACTACATCCTCAACCCGCCACCACCATGCGCTCTTGGCCGAACTAATGCACGAAGCATAAACACACCAGCACAGCAAGGACACTTCCGTTGCCAGATATTATTTACGCCTATAGACAGCTGTTTCGTTTCTTCAAGCGCATCGTTAGAGGAGGATAGTAGCAGGATACTATTAAATGATGAAATAATATAAGATGATACTAGTAGACGGTTTATGGTCCGATATTGATGATTGGAGATCTAAGAAAGCAATGACAGTGATTGCGAAATGGATAATATAATGATTATATGCCAGTCTGGTAATGCGTTGTACTAGTGAACAGTGTTGAAATCATCACTGCATTCGATGCAAATATTGGTGTACCTTTGGTTTCAGTATTGGAAAAAAAGAACCCGGTTGCTTTGGTTGCATCTGCGACTGGCTACCGGGTGTTGTGACCGGCAATGTTACCATGGGAGAAAATAAGAGCGCAAGGATCTGTTGGGTCTTGTTGTGCCGTGCCGGTGCGAGAACCCTAAGTGCATGGCAAAATAGAACTGTTTGATCCCCATTGCAGAATGTCTTGCGGTATATGGCATTGATGACTGAACATCTCGCCAGCTCACCCAGATGGGGATCATGCCCAAACGGAGGAACAAGACATCTTTTCAGCTCAGCTAGCTATATACCGTGAAACGGATGGTTAACTTGTGCCACGCATGCCAGCTTCTGTTCCATTCGGCCCAGGCTTAGACACATCAATGCCAATAGCAGCTGATCCTCCATTACATGCTCATTGGCGATTTACGGCCACCTCCAACTGTATCCGCCGTCCCTCAGCTTCCGTCTTCGCAGATCTGGCGCGGCGCAGTACATTTTCTCGGCTAGGCTCAAAGAAGTCCCACAGAGCGGTCCAAACACCTGAAGGCAAACCAGTCAGAAACTGGAGCGGCTCAGAGTCTTTCTTTATGTTATTGTACGTAAGCTGTTTTTCGGCTTTCTTCACCCCAGTCCTCACATCGTCCAACTGCTCCACGAGACTCTGTACACGAGCTCTACTTGCTGACAACTCCTGATGCAGATGCTGCACTTCCATTACAGGACCAAACTGCACTAAGCCAGGTTCCTTTCCAACTCAAAGTGCCGTTGCCTCTCCGCAAAATACTTGTTTGCGAGCATGGGGAGCTCGTGATGCAGACGCTGCACGTCCATGACCGAACTGCACTAGGCTCAGCAAAATACTGTTTTGCGATCATGGGGAGCAGGGCGTCCAGACTCCACTCTCTTGCGAAAGGCAAACCTGGTACCGTAGGACAGCTGTTTGGTTTCCTGGACTCATCCTGTCCTTGTAGAGCTGGGTGAAACGATTTCGATTTCGGGATCGAAATGATCGCTGCAACTCAATATTCAGAGTGACCATAAAACTACGTCCTTCCTCATGGGGAATTGCCTGGATCCGCTTGCTCCAGGCCGCTGTGGCTCCACACGAGGAAAGGACTGGAGTGAAATGACTTGTTTGCTTCGTCCTCCTGTTCTGACAGTGAGGAACGCAGCAATGTTCTGAGAAGGCATCCTGAAGTCGTAAAAAGGAAGACGTCTAAACTAAAACAAAACAGCTCAAATCAAAAGTCCTTGTGGCATTTTTTGTAGACAGGCTTGCACTGCATGTAGATCTCGTGTGCTCCGCACTTCGCATGCGAGAAGTCACGCACAGCCGCGGTGAGGTTGGTCGCGTGTGTGCAGCAGGATCCCACGCGACTGCGGAGTTGCCCCCTTGCTCGAACCCAGACAATAATAAGGGGATCGGTCTATTATGAAGTAGCAATACGGCCAGCGCGAAGTATGGTGTATGCCTTACGGGTTCAAGCTCCGATGTGTGCTGCAGCCGCATATGGCTGGTTGGCTGGCGAGTTCAGGTGAGTTCCGGCGTACGCATTGTTACATGGCACCACAGCGTGCATGTACGTGTTACTTGACATGCATCAATGAATAGCGTGGGATCTGCGGGCTCTTTGGAAGCCGCTGGAGCGCGTGTGAAGTGGTGGCTTGTGCAATGTGTTAAAGGGAAACTGAACGCCAAAAATAAGTATGGCTTATCCGAAGGAGAATTGGGCACTGATTCCGATGAGCTATGTCTCGAGCCGATCAGAGAAGAGGAACTGTGTCAAATTTCATAAATAACACCTCCCATATTTGGAAATTGGCCTTGATGACGTGCGTACTGCTTAGCTGTCACCATGCTGTGCATGTTCAGCAGTGTAATTGAATGGAAGAAAACAATTACTTTGGTGTTTTGCAGCTCTGTTTCGTTCCCTGACGGTAACCAAATCTAGATGTAGGAATCTGTTGAGCAGGAGAGTGACACATGTCTTCCCGAAGGCTGTCCAGGCTGCAGTGGTGATGAAGAAGACACGATCATCACCCCGAGATCGATCGTAGCGAATTGGAAAACTCATGGTGAATTTGCTTCCACTCCAAGGCAATGTCGAGGTATGAAGGGTGCTTGTACTGTCTTCCAAAGTGAAGAGGAGATGAACATGGCTTTGCATAGCTGTTCTATGCCAACTTACCTACTCTTGCTGGCACCGTAGTGGCATATTGCACATTTCGTGGACGAACAACTCTAGTCACTAGTGGCTAGTGAGCAACACTAACAGGTGAGATTTTTCAATTCGACAAAAATTGTTTTTGTTTGAGAACTGACAGTGGCAGTCATTAGACTCAGTAGGTGTCTTTGCTGCTTCTTTCCCTTCATTGGTAGGGTTGTGCTTGAATAGTACAAGTGCTTGAAGTAAAATAATAAATAGAACATGTGGAACATAAATCTAATCAAGCATCAGTACATGTATTGCGAAGTTTAACTTCAAAGCACATGAAATCACAATGATCACGAAGTTTATGTAATCAGGAGTACACCCTGTGTTCAACGAACACATACACACATGCTGTATTGCGCACACACATGTACACATGTGCGTGCGCCCCCACCCCACCCCACAGACACACGCATGCAGCGCGCACATCCATACACATGTGCGTGTACCGCCCCCCCCCCCCACACACACTCCTACCCATACACATGTGCGTGCCCCCCCCCACACACACGTGTGCACATACAGATACACGAACACACACGCACGAACACACACACACAAGATACGTGTAAGTGTACATGGTCTTCCTGGTGCAGATGCTGAGCCAGCACAATGGAAAATACCTCCATCAAGATGCTTGATCAAGTTTTGTGATAATGGCACTGTTTGTTTGTTTTTACAAAGAAGTGTGGGAAAGATTACAATGCATTATAATTCATAATTGTTCTTTGCCTTGTACTGTGCAGACCAGAATGCTTTGCTATCAACTCCTGGCTTTCCATCGGCATGGTGTTCAGCTGCAGCGGCATCTGGTCCGGGGAGTTCAAGTTGCTGGATGGCTGCACTGACACAGGATGGGTTTGCGTTGGCAATGCGATACGGCAGTCATCCCACATCACGAGCTACATGTTTATGTAATTTATATTGTCGCTCGTCCAGCAACGTCAAGGCTCTGCATGTAAACACAGGAGAACACCATAATACTACTCAGGGGATAATAATTTTGGATATCAATTTCGTGACAATTATTAGATTCACACAATATTCACAACGTATGCAACACGATGCTGTCTATTGACACTACTTCAAACTGAAGTGCTCACTACTCCTCTCCCGTTTTCATCTCCCTCTACCTTATGAATACTCTGCATTACTGGTTTCGTTTCTACCCTTTCCATTGCTGCCAGTTCCCAGTCTTTTTCAATGCACAGCACCACCTTGACAGTCATTTTTGTGATTTGATGTACACAAACTTTGAAGTTCAAATTCGAATTACATGATCAGATTTTTGTTCCACATTTTCTATTTATTTTTACTTCAAGCACAACCCTACCGATGAAGGGAAAGAAGCAGCAGAGAGACACCTACTGAGTCTAATGACTGCCACTGTCAATTCTCAAACAAAAACAATTTTTGTCGAATTGAAAAATCTCACCTGTTAGTGTTGCTCACTAGCCACTAGTGACTAGAGTTGTTCGTCCACGAAATTTGCAATATGCCACTACGGTACCAGCAAGAGTAGGTAAGTTGGCATAGAACATCAGCTATGCAAAGCCATGTTCATCTCCTCTTCACTTTGGAAGACAGTACAAGCACCCTTCATACCTCGACATTGCCTTGGAGTGGAAGCAAATTCACCATGAGTTTTCCAATTCGCTACGATCGATCTCGGGGTGATGATCGTGTCTTTTTCATCACCACTGCAGCCTGGACAGCCTTCGGGAAGATATGTGTCACTCTCCTGCTCAACAGATTCCTACATCTAGATTTGGTTACCGTCAGGGAACGAAACAGAGCTGCAAAACACCAAAGTATTATTGTTTTCTTCCATTCAATTACACTGCTGCACATACACAGCATGGTGACAGCTAAGCAGTACGCACGTCATCATGGCCAATTTCCAAATATGGGAGGTGTTATTTATGAAATTTGACACAGTTCCTCTTCTCTGATCGGCTCGAGACATAGCTCATCGGAATCAGTGCCCAATTCTCCTTCGGATAAGCCATACTTATTTTTGGCGTTCAGTTTCCCTTTAACCTACATTACCGCAAGCTCTAATGTGCTATATTATCAAAATCTCCTCTAAACAGAAATGAGCAGCAGCTTTTATGCAGCAGACGCCGTACGCTTACATACGGAGATACACTAACTATACATCAGGCAAAGCTCCGTATTAGTTCCGTACTACTTCCGTATTGGTCGGGTAGGGATACTACACTATTGCTTCTCGTTGGCTAGCGTAGGAATGACATAAGTCAGCAAACGTACAGCGAATCCAATACCAATAGTTCAGATTGTAATACTGCAAGTGAAAAGTAAACAAGCGTTTCGCAGATAGCAGGTATACATATAGCTACAAGACGGACTAATTGTACTTACTTACAGTGCAATTAGTCCTTCTTGTAGCTACATGCAAGTGAAAATCACATAAAATTATTGTTAAAACATTTACAAATTTGTGTATTGGTCACTATGGATATGTGGAATTCTGTAATATAAATATCAAACGCAAAACGGAGAAAGAAAAAAAGGAAAAGGAAAAGCATGCATACAGCATTTGAATACTTGAAGAGTTTGAGTGCTCTTTTGTATGAAGTGTGAGTGCTGTAAAGCATATTGTCAGAATGGTGTTGGATGGGTGTACATGTATGCGTGTGAAGGTTGTCGCTTTAATTTTGCTTTTTTACTGAAATAACAGGCATTGAAGGCACAAACTGAGTAAAGAATCATTACACTGTACTTCAAGTACGTGCACCGGATATCGGTACTTTAAAAGGCTACAAGGTAACAGGAGCTCCCGTCTCTTTCGGACAGCAAGCTCTTCCCCTTCACCGAATTCATCCCCTTTAAAAACATTTCTTGGTTATTGATTTGAGTCCTCTGAAGTCTTGTTTGTGTTCCTTGCTTGTCTTTCACTGCAGGCATGGAATCATGTATCACTCGAGCACTTCAATTGTCACAAGTTCCCCAGGCTAGTATTCACCCAATCACAAGCACTTTGCAAAGCCTCTCACCACCAGTCGATCAACTGACAGTTGACAGCGCCAACCCTGCAGTTTTGGCATATGTTCTGGGTGGAGAGGATACTTTCAGGCGATTTACGCACTGCTTGGGTATGTAAAGACACCTAAGGTACTTTGCAGTTTGCATACATGACCTTTCCGGCTTACAGAAATGCCTCCGCGGTGTTGAGCACTGTCAGCACACTGGGTACATCCTCCGCTGACCTTTCAGGCTTCAATGGTTAACCATGTTGAGTTTAGGACACATCTGTAGCATGACCAACTGCTTAGCTCCCCCCCCCTATACCCTGTCTATTAAGAGTAGAGGTCAGTTTTTCAGGCCTTTTTTGAGTAGTACATTGTACTGTTGAGCCACAGAAGTAAATAAATTCAATGCAATATAATACAATAGACAGCTGCACTTTTAGATGCCAACATTCATAGTTCGCTTGTTCCTGTCTTAAGTGCGCTCACCTTCCGCTTTCTTACGTTAATAAGTTAGAACCTTCCAGGTCGGATGGCTGCTGGTTTGCGAATTCTAAACGTGATATAGCTAAGAATCAGGTGGTTGAATGTTGATATCACACAATCAGCGTTGTGCTAATTGTTGCACGTTCTGACTCACGGGGATCTTGCATTGTATACCGGTATTTGCTAATGTTGAACGTTCTGACTCACGGGGATCTTGCATTGTACACCGGTATTTGCTAATGTTGCACGTTCTGACTCACGGGGATCTTGCATTGTATACCGGTATTTGCTAATTGTTGCACGTTCTGACTCACGGGGATCTTGCATTGTATACCGGTATTTGCTAATATTGCACCTTCTGACTCACGGGGATCTTGCATTGTATACCGGTATTTGCTAATGTTGCACGTTCTGACTCACGGGGATCTTGCATTGTATACCGGTATTTGCTAATGTTGCACGTTCTGACTCACGGGGATCTTGCATTGTATACCGGTATTTGCTAATGTTGCACGTTCTGACTCACGGGGATCTTGCATTGTATACCGGTATTTGCTAATATTGCACGTTCTGACTTACGGGGATCTTGCATTGTATACCGGTATTTGCTAATGTTGCACGTTCTGACTGACGGGGATCTTGCATTGTATACCGGTATTTGCTAATGTTGCACGTTCTGACTGACGGGGATCTTGCATTGTATACCGGTATTTGCTAATGTTGCACGTTCTGACTCACGGGGATCTTGCATTGTATACCGGTATTTGCTAATGTTGCACGTTCTGACTCACGGGGATCTTGCATTGTATACCGGTATTTGCTAATATTGCACGTTCTGACTCACGGGGATCTTGCATTGTATACCGGTATTTGCTAATGTTGAACACAAATAACAGATAACCTGTGAAGCCTTGGCCCTTCTCTGCTTTCATTTTAACGTTCTTGTCTTCGGTTTTCGTATCAGCATTCTTTTCTCAATTTGATTGGGCATGTTTTGTCTCATGATTCTTGGTTCATGCAGGCGGTCGGCTTCAGCAATGTCGCCAAAGTCCCCCTTGTAGCGATGCCGGAAAGTGCATCTTTACACGTTCTCAACAAGGGCAAGGCTCGTACATTTGCAACTGTGATGATGGTCATACTGGAAAGTTTTGTGAGACAGGTACGAAACTTGAATTTGAACTCGAATTTCGAGCCAAAGTAATCATGGATTAAAAATAAAGGACTAAATGTTACAAGTTATGCCTAACTGTCCACCAACGTAACCAAATCATATTCAGTCGGCGAGTGCGACAAAATGGCACAAACGGACAAGGAGTATTGAGACTTTGAGACAGTCAACGTCAGTTCGTCGAATGTTACAGCGCTCATTGTCAATTTGCGCAGGTAATCATTAAAGAGGAAGTATACCCTAAAATCAAATTATTACCAGTTGTAGTCTTCGGGGTGTGGAGTCGAATGGTCTTGGCTCGAGGAAGCTGAGACGCTCCCTTCCTCCTTTATTCCCAATCGAACTCGCGCACTTCCACCGAAACAGGGTGACTGCGCCCTACTAGATAGGGATTTGTATGGAAAAAGTCACTAAAAACGCCGTTTCGTTTCGTTCATATGGATAAAAGCGCGGATGACAGCGATTTGTCCATATGTTGTAGTCCTTTGGACGCTGAGTCGACTGGTTTTGGTCCGAAAAGGCTGCGATGCAGCGTTCGGCCCTTATTTCCAATCGAACACGGTTGAGTAAGCGTTGGCGTGCTCATGTACAGCCTGTTTGGGCCCGTTTATGTCACTCGAGTTGAACCGTGGAACCAGGGAGTCGTAAAAGCCTCTTACGACTCCCTCCTTTGAGCTTTTGTGTTGAACCTTGATGTGAAAATTGTAGCCTGCATGCACGGTGACAAGGCGACTGGTGTACGCATGAGCACGTGACCGCTTCCTCAACCGTGTTCGATTGGGAATAAGGGCCGAACGCTGCATCGCAGCCTGTTCGGACCAAAACCAGTCGACTCAGCGACCAAAAGACTACAACATATTGACCATTCGCGGTCATTCGTGATTTTCTAAGAACGAAACGGCGTTTCTAGAGACTTTTTCCATACAAATCCCTATCTAGTAGGGTGCAGTCACCCAGTTTCGGTGGAAGTGTGCGAGTTCGATTGGGAATAAAGGCGGAAGGGAGCGTCTCAGCTTCCTCGGACCAGGGCCATCCGGCTCAGCTACCCGAAGACTACAACTGGTGAAATTTTGATTTTAGGGTATACTTCCTCTTAATTTAGAGATAATTATTATGGTAGAAAGAGCGAAAGACAAAATGTTACGCGTTATAACTACTTCACTAACTATCCACCAACGTAACCAGATCTTATACAGTCAACGAGTGCGACAAGATGGCACAAAACTGACAATTGACTGTACAAGATCTGGTGACGTTTGTGGACAGTTAGTCATAGCGCGTAACATTTTGTCCTTCTCCGTTTTTTTCCCAGAGATAATTATGTCCGAGTCCATAATTATGTTTGCCCAAACGATAGACTAAATTGAAGAAACGGCTGTTCAGACACAAAACCGATACTAGTAGACAGTATTTTGACCATATTGAACTTATCACTGACTGACACTGATCTCTTTGAGTTAAAAAAGATCATTTTGTTTGTCAAATTCGTTGTCTGAAGATTGCTATAATTATGGCATGAAACTTTAAGTTACGACAATCAAGACGCGTGGTTTTCCTGTGACTCGTTTCAAATTCATTTGTAGATTTTTAAAGAACTCATCACATTTTAAATTCGTCAAGTACAAGTACAAACACAAGATATGTAGATGACCAGGTGGCAAATATCTTGCTATGTTAGACTGTTTATTCTGTTGGCAGGCCACAGTCTACCATTCTGTGCATCGCTTGACCTAAAAATGACTTTGCTCGGGACATTTCACTTCACGGAAAAACGAAGAATGTGATCCTCAAACTGCCGATATGCACATTATTTCTTTCCCTCAAAAACATACACAACATACATGTACATGTACTTCATATGACATGCGTTGAGGGAACCAGTGAAATTCAACGGTATTTTGTTTGCCTTTCTTCTGAGTTCTATGCGAAACTCTCACTTTAAAATACTACTACTT